CATGTTGGTCTATCGATTTTAAAGTGCGAAATAACCGATGATTTTAAGGCCGCAGCCTTTGCCACACTGACCCATTGATTCTTTAGCTTTCGGTATTGACCTTTATATTCCTTTTCAGAGGATGGACGATAGAGAGTAGCATCACTAAGATATTCCTCTGTTATCTCAACATCCAGCCAGCGAGGAATAACTACGAACTCTCCCCCCTCATCACTAACAGACAATCTTATTGTTTTCGAGTTTATTAATTCTCTAATTTCCCGCTTGCCACATTTTTGTGCGGCTGTAAGGTTAGAGATAAACTTTCTATCGCGGTAGTGATCAAGGGTCTTGAGAACGCCGTCCGAAAACGAGCGGAATTTTATGTCAACTCCATCGTTAGGGTCCTGCTGTCTAAAGAACGTTTTTGGGAAAGGAGATGGTGTAATGTTGCCGCCTCTTGATTTTTATCTCTATTTGATGTTTCTTGCTTGGCCTGATAGCGGAGTCGATCTTGAAGCTCATAAAGGTTGCATGCTATCCTACGCAGGTTCGTTTGAGAAATGGGCTGTGATGGTGCAAAACTTGGGCTCAATTCTAATAGCGAGCGCGCATTCTCAGGTATTGTTATGCCCCCAATCACGGTGACCCTAGATTTTCTTGGTGCATTATCAACCCCATTTTGACTATTATCAGAAGCGTAAGGAATTCGTTTGCGGTTGTTTCTTGAAGCTGAGACGTGTGAATTACCCAACAGGCTTTCGAATTTCCGTTGTAAGGTTATTTTGGCACTAGATCTAATAAGATCGCATATCAATATTGACCCACCAACTATCCTCCTCCAAAGGTGATCCTCCAAATACAAAGCACAGAAATGTTCCTTCGTTGCACACTTCTTCATTCTGGCAAACATCTCGTTCTGCTTGCTTCGTAGTGCAGCTCGAAGTAGTTCCATTTCGATGTTTCGTACTTGTTGGCTGCCCTCTGGTTGACCGCATATGTCGTGAAGTCGCTTTCGTTTTATAAACTTCGGCACGACTCGATGTCGAAAGCAGCGGCGGAGGAAGCTGATTTGCTGTCTAGCTAAGACGATCTTTTGTCTTAGTGACAATGCTTCCTTCACAAGTCAAAAGTATTCTGCTGGTACGTCTTGTAATAATTCTCAGTATCCATTTCCTATTAACCTCGGCATTGGAATATGAATGCGTTATTTTCTTGTTCAGCAATCGCGAGGCTGTTAAACAGCATACGTTTACTTCCATAGAAAAACACAATACAATACAACACTACCTAACGTTTCGGCAGTATCGCCTTCTTCAGAGTCGTTTCCACTGGAAGTCACGTAAAAAGCAGCTTTCAAGAAGGCGATACTGCCGAAACGTCAGCTAGTGTTGTATTGTATTGTGTTTTTCTATGGAAGTAAATGTGTGCTGTTTAGCAGCCTCGCGATTGCTGAACAAGAAAACGACGCATTCATAATCCAATGCCGAGGTTACTAGAAAGTGGATCCTGGGTGCTCTAGGGAGAATCGATTCGACCATCGACTCGACTCTACGACATTCAGGATGAAACGAAATTCCTCAAGCAGCAGCCGAAAACACAAAAACTTGGATGGTGTTAGCGCATTACCACCTCGGTTAGGTAGAGAATGAGAGTGACCCATACCAGTCTGGTACCAGTTTCCCAAACCCAGAATGAGAGGTGGTTAAGTAGGCCCAAGACAGAGTCCAACCAGGAGAACGGAGTTATGGGTACGATAGGCTGTCCGTGTAATGAACGTAGTCAGTACCACTACGCTATCGCACCTTTATTATAGGATGTTTTAAAGAACTAACAAGTTTCTATCCCAGTAACCCTGATCGTATTCGCTATCATTTCTCTCTCCAACAACTGAATCTACCTTCCAAACACGTTTCACTTCTCTTCACTGTCTGTTTTTTTCATACCATACCAGCGCCCGATATGAAGTACAACCACAAAGATCCCGAGATTGAGCATAATACGTAGCTACAGATGTGTATATAAAACTCTTTTACTAAACACTTCACGAAATTCACACCCAGCATTTTCGCGAAATTCTGCGACCTAAACAGGAAACCGCGACGCGACCGCTCCGTCCACAAAGCAATTGGGAAATGCGATGTGGAATTGGAAAGTGGCCAGATTTGTGTTGCGATTGCTTTTCTTGTCGTGTTTGCCGTGGTGGTCATGGTAGAAGTTGTTCTCGTGACTTGTGGGGAAGGAAGTGGTCCGTATGAGTCGTGGTGGATGCATAGTTGTGCGGTTTTTATCCACGTACTTGGAAACTTGGACGGCCTGTTCTCACCGGTGGCGCGGACCTCAACATAATCTCCATTTTTTCGGAGTTTTGCTAGTTTAACCACTGTGGCTCCCGGGAGGCAAGTGGTCAGCCAGGGCAAAGTCTGCCGTAGGCCGCCACCACCACAGGCAGTCGTCGTCGTTGTGAATCAGAGGGGCTGGCCACCATGTGGCTAGTTTGGTGCCAGGGCGGTTGTGGATTTTGACATTGGTTTACTCTTAGCTGAGCTTTCTGACGGAAACGCCGGACTCCCCAGCTTGGGAGACCCTACCAGGGATGAATCATCTCGCTGTACATTGGAGCCCGACGCCCGGGAACATTTCCCATCCACGATGAGGCGGTAAACTTTTGGGAGGTATGTGGTTTTTAAGGTACGGAAAGAGGATTTCTGAAAAAATTGTGTACTGGTGTAAAGAAACGTAATCCTATGTTATGGATTCTCTTATCAGTACTCTACTAAAGCGAGCATCAAACCCGAACATAGGGTATTCAATAGTGTAATAGAGGGAAGCGTTAAAAGACTACAGTTATATGGAGTAATTGAAGATTGATTGATTCTTACGAAGGATTTTCGTTACGTTAGGTTGAGTTTCTCACTGTCTGCACTTTTTTTTTCCCCATATGCAGTGCCTCTTGAACTGCATCTGAAAGCTATTCCTTTTCAGTCTCAACAATCTTTAGATCATTTCGTTCTTCTTTGTTTCTGAAGTTGTCTGATTTTAGTGTGTTCTATCGTGCATTTTCTTACATTTGTTACTTCTCGTTGTTTCAAGCGTTTGTTTCTTGTCCTTACAAACTGCCTTCGTTGAGCTGATGCGAGGTTGGTGTAAGTTGTTGTCGTTGTTGCTGTTGATCAATGGCTGACGTTTCGGCGATTTTGTCCTCGTCGGAGCCGTGCTGTTACGAGTTGTAATACTTGCTTCTTTAGTTTCAGAAACACTCCTATGGCAAATGCAATGTGTATCTGCTGCTGTAATCAGTTTTTTTTTTACCACTGAAAATATTGAAACAAACGAATGGAAATCGTTTTGGTTGGAAAAACTGCTCGGATTCTTTCAATTAAGTCACAAGACTAAAAGCAACCTTTGGCAAAGGACAAGACTATGCGCTTTTGCACCTCCATACATTTTAGTATCCAGGTGTTTCACTGATCTGTAATTATTAAATTGCAGTTTTATTTACGCCTGAACTGGAAATATCTGTGTTAGTGGAACTTTTCCGAGTGTATGTACGTGTTTTGCTTTGCTGTACTTCTTAATCTCTTCCATCAGTTTCTCAGAATGACACAACAGCTGGCTCATCGTCGTGAGCCAGGCGATGTCGGGAAATTCGTCGTTGACCTAGTTGTTGGAGGTGTATCTGCTGCTTTATCGAAAACGGTCGTCGCACCTGTCGAAAGAGTGAAACTACTGTTACAGGTTTGTTTACCACATATAGTTGCATCGTTGCAAATGTTTTTCATGTAATTCTGTTTTGAAGCTAGAGACTTAAACTAAAGTGAGGTGGAAGTAGGGTAGTTTTGTGAAAAAGTCGCTTTTCTATCAGAGCGTTCGGGGTCTGCTGCAAGGGAGAAAACTCGTCTATTTGTGACACGAATACAATAAATATGCGTGTGGCTCCTTATGGGTAGGTCTATTGGAACATCAATTTCGTCTATACAGAAATTTGATAAGAGGCTTGTTCATCTTTACCACCGAGTTCTGGAATGATTTCTGCACATAGCTTAGTTCAAATAGAAATCTGACTAATGAAAGAGTATGCAAAATATAGAAATATTTTGGAAATAAATATGCCACGATGTGGTAGGATGTGGCTTCGGAAGTCCTATTCCAAATTATAAGGAAGGGCATTTAGTTTCGTTTCTTTTGTGCTGCTTAGTGTAAGGCAGTATAACGAAACGAAATTTCACGGCGTAGAATATTTCCACAGTGCTTTCATATCAAACTAATAAGTTGGGAAGAAGTTAATGTACAGTGCTCCGAAATAGATTCTTTGTTTCAAGCGGACAATGGAAGTGTCATAATCATTTGCACTACAGAATATTCTAGGAAAGTTTCTTGTGCGCAGAAGTATAATAAAAGGAGTTTAACAAGAAGAAATGTGGTCAAATATGGTTTACAAGCAGTCATCTAATATGAGTGTGTGGTTGGTAATGGCGTGTGCGCTGCATCTATTAGCATCGAATACGTTATTGGTGAAAGTCTTGTGCTCGCATCCGTTGTGGTAGTCATATTTTCACATTTTGCAGCCGTTAAGTGACCATGAAAACTCAGGGAAGTAGAAGCCGACACTCATCAGGAGCTGCGACATTAACTAGAAACGCAGTCAGGCGCGACTAGTGGCGAACTGAAAGCACTTTCCTTTTACCATCCCATCACCCCCGAAGTAAATTCGGACAAAGACGTAATGAGAGTGTCGTATCGATTATTTACAAACCAATACTTATAAACATTCTCAGATAGAGTTAAGACTAGTGTGTGTTGGCTGGCAGCGATTGGACGGATCTTCTTCAGTAACCTGTTGCAAAAATAGAAGCGATTTTCGCATGTCGTCTTTTGGACTTAGGCTGAGTGAATTCTATTACTATCCCTATCCTCGATTGTTGCTAGTGTAATTCGTAACACTTACTTCGTTTTCAGAATTTATTTCACCAAGTTTTTACTTCAATGTACATTGTCATTGGTATCTTGATTAACAGCTTCACCGCAAAGTTCATATAGAGATTGAAAGCTTTTTTACCAGAAATGCGGTAGCCGCATGTTGAAGAACAGTGCCAATTTGTTGTTGCTGAATTTAGTGCCTTCAGCTGCTCACGAATTGGGCGTTGTGGTGAAGCAGAAGTAAGTTCTTAGTATGTTCCACAACGATGCCAGATATGGTGCTCCTAGGAGTCTTTTGAAATAGGAAGGAATCTTTTCCAACGTGCTCCTTGCCTTTTCCAACCTGCGTAAATTACCATCTCTAGACCGAATATTTAAAAATAGAAAGAGTTTTTCTAACGAACTGGTAGATACATGTACAGACTGTTGATATTGTGAAAATATTTCTGTTTCATAGCTGGGATGATAAGGTCCGTAGATGAGGGCGTCGCTGAATCAATTACTGCTTCGCACGTGACCGTACACATAGACTTTAATCCGAACATTGAGATGGTATTGGCACATTGAGTCTTTGCGTTCATTTCACTGTTTTATTTTGTAGTTTATCGTGGAGTGTAGAGATTTTTTGCAATGCTTTTTATATTCAGTTGTTAGCTTATCCGACACAGATGCTGTACATGACGTGCCCCATGAAATATTCTCTTCAGTTATTGATTTAAGAAAAGCTCTTTGCCGTTGTGGTTTGTTCTTCTGGCACAGACACTGCCTGTGACACGGGAGCTATTTCGGCACGTGCATGTAGTGGTGTCCCATTAGTGTGTCTCTACTCGGTGTGTCACCGGGAACGTTATAAGTTCTCAACTCCGTTGTGCTATATGAAAGTACATGATATACAAAAAACTGAGGTATACTCAACATGCTTCATGAAATCGACTACTCTAAGCATAGGGACACCATGGTTTCACTCTAGATCTGGCTCTAAAATCCCTTAAAAATGTGGCAAAGTACTAGGAAGGACATGGGCTATACCCATAACATGAGAAGGTACAAAAATCAAGAAATTTCTGGAGCATGTTTGAGTGCACTCATTGGGTTCGAGTCACACTCGAACGTGACGCAAAATTAGACGCTTTTATTCAACCATGCATATATATATATATATATATATATGTATGTATATATACGCATGTATATCTATACGTATGCATAGATATAAACGGATCAAGTTCGCCGAGACGTCTAGTTTTTGTGAATAAAATAAGAAAGAATAAAGAATTGATCAATCCCTGATCGCCATGCATTCGATTTCATTAAGCATCGTTTGGAGGTGATTGAATGCATATCTGGCCTTTCCAGTGGCTCGCGGTGGCCTACTGATGTATCGAGCTAGTGCTGCTATCCTCTCAGACAAGTCTAGCACCAATTTGGCGACCCCGGAGGGGTGGAAGAGTTGGTAGGCCGTGAGCGCAGGGATCGATTCCACGTGTGTGTTGCAGGGTGCCTCGGACCACTGCGCCACATGCCCCCCTAGTTTTTGTGAATATGGAGTAAAATAACAAACTCGTGTTTGGACATTAAGGAACAAGGTGAATTATGTGTATATATATGTATATATTTAACATATTTGCATATACGTATCTACACATGTATGTATATATATATATATATACATATATGTATATATGTATATACTCCACACATATACATCGTGCATATGCCCATAAAAAAATTATGTATAGGAAGCAAATGCTGCGCAGGTGTTAGAGGTACCGCGCAGTAAACATGGGTTCAATCCCTCCCCACAGATTCGCAGAGCTTTCCGCTTCGTCGGGGTCGGCAAATTGGTACCAAACTTGTTCGGCAAGATAGTAACACTAACTCGATGCATCGGTAGACCACCATAAAGCAATGTATGACCAGCTATGCATCCAGTCACCTGTAACAATGGTTGATGAAGTCGAATGCATGATGCATACTTCAAGGGTTGATCATCGAGGTCGAGAGTTTTATCCTTTATTCTTTGTATACCGAAGCAACAAACCACTTCGGTGCGCTACAAATTAGGGCGTTATCCCCTAAATCAAGTTGTGTATTTTAATAAGTATGTCGTGGATACCTTGTATACTAATTTAACCCTGTATCTGTCGCTTTAGAAGGTGTCACATACCTTCACGACTAATAAAACTCTAAATCTTTCGTATTCTATGGGAAATAGTCTCGTAGAAAAGCGTATGTACTTTAACCTGACCAAATCCGTTTTATCTTTTGGTCATTTTAGGTATAGGACAAATAAAATATCTTGCGGGTGAGAAGGACGTTAACGTCTTTACAGAAAGGCTTTATTGTTTGCGTTTCAACATAGATAGTTTCTCTGTTCATACAAAGTTTGATGTTTATATGTGCATAAAATTAAGGCGTGGAATTGGCACAATGTTGTGATGATAAGAGGAGTCAAATCTTTCATGAATATGCGGCTTATTCTAGTAAATTGACTCATAGTTCTTTTTATAGGTTTAGATTACAGAAATGATCTTAAAACATGGAATTTTTCAATTATAGGTCCAATATTCACACAAGAGTATTGGTGTCCAGAATCGTTATAAAGGAATCGTGGACGCTTTCATTCGTGTTCCTAGTGAGCAAGGTTTTCTCTCTTTTTGGAGAGGAAATTTCACAAATGTGATGCGTTATTTCCCCACACAGGTATTTCACTACTTTTAGCTAAAGTTATAGGCTTGTTATTACTTTGGCTAAGGATTTACTACTATTTTATCTTTTAAACATTTAGGGTTGGTTAGTCCTTTCTGTTTCTTTTTTTCTATTTCTATCCCTTTAAGGCTTTAAATTTCGCTTTCAATGATCTCTACAAATCAGTTCTTCTCAAGGATGTCAGTTATAGTCAGGTGTCTTACCCTTATAATGCTTTTATGTGAGATTTTCTTTCATGCTAAGAACAATGTCATGCATTGTATTGTATGACTGTTCTAATTGACTAATTTAGAATTTTTGGAAATATACTTTTTCTTCGCTAGCATCCGGTGGTTGTGCAGGCTCCACAACTCTCTGTTTCGTGTATCCACTTGATTTTATACGGACTAGGCTATCCGTCGACGTCGGTACCCACAAAGCCAATAGAGATTACTTGGTGATTTTTTTCTTCCATTTTGTTTTTTTCTGGCTATCACGTTTTATGGAGTCCACCATCGACTGCGTTGTAGGGCTTTGTGGATTGCCTTAAGCAGACCGTTCAGTCTGATGGCGTAAAAGGATTGTATAGAGGTTTCTTCATTTCTATCCAAGTGAGTGCTTTGCTTTATTTTCTTCTGTTATTCTCTTTTCCATCTACGTTATTTTGTTGTGATTATTATGATGATTATGATTATGATTATTATTATTTGTTAATTTTATCGCAACGTCGTAGTCATCCTATAATAGTCCACAACACATCCGTATTATATAAAGTTTGGGCCGACTATCTTCGTATTGTTTTACTTTTATTTCCTGCTTTTTATACTTTTTATGGCACAGTGTTAAGCGAAATATAACCACAATGTTGTTGAGATATTTGCAAAACTCCGGACCGCAGGTGTCTGTGGTGGGGAACGAACCACTGCCACCAGCAGTCACCCGTCAGCGGGATTGATCCAGGGTGGCGAAATCGGCATTGAACCCAGTTAAGCTGCGGCTGTAGTTGAATTCACAATGTTTTACTTTTTATTTCCTGCCTTCTATAATTTTTATGGCAGGATATTAAGCGAAATACACTGATCGATAGAACTAGCTGAGAGACAGGCGAAACGAAGAACCCGCATGGTGTGGTGGTGAACGCGTTACTCCCCGGAAAGGGCAATAGCGCGTTCGTTCCCCACCGCATACACCTGCGTTCCGGAGTTTTGCAAATATCTCAGCAACATTGTGGTTATCTTCGTATTTTTCATTAACCTACCACTTCTGGTTTAGTGTGCCCATTTTGTACCGTCTGCACGCCGTCCCCATGTAATCGAGACTAAATGTCAAGGAATTTCAGAGTTTTATATACATTGACAAACTCATGCCAGTCTCGGAACAGACGAGACATCCTATATTTTATAGTGAAATGTATACTAAGAAATACTTTTCAAACTTTCCAATTTGTATTATTCGTTAGTATTTACTTCAGTTTCCTACACCTGGTAAGTTGATAATTGTCCAAGTACGTTAGTATAGCGGTTGCTAGCGGAAATTAGGTCTTCGAATCAGCTCTCGGCACCTTATGATCACTAGCTTTGAATAGGATGTTCGACTTAGTAGAAATTGCCACGCGGGACTTTTTCGTACGTATTGCAGAGCAATATCTCAAACTTGGGTAATTAAACCGTTTATACCAATAATAATTCAAAAATAACGAGATATAAACATTGGTACAATACAGACTGCAATATTGTATCATGATCAATAAATAAGGGTAATGTGGGTTAGTATCTTTGCTATAAGAACAAGGCTACATGACAGTAATGTTAATATACAACAGTTACCACATACAACACGAGAGAACACCTTGGATTGACTACAAGGCGCATTACACATGATGGAAAGCGGGGCAAATGCGGTATTGACGCCCGGATCTCTTTAAATATCTTCTAGAGGAGGTGTTTTGGCACAGGTCCAGAACCTTTACCAAAAACACCCATCATCTTGCGTCTCCTGCTCCACCGTGATCAGATGGCTGAGGACGATTTGCCGGCCAGCTTCAAGCCCCTTTGTGTTCCCATCTGTACGTTAACCCGTGATGGTTTGTAACAGATGCAACATACAAAAGGTTCCGAGCTTATAAAAAGAGTGTGGTTCACAAAGGATGTTTATGACAACCAAAGTTTCTCTCAACGAAGTGAAAACGTTTACATGCTGCAAGATCGCAAAGCGATGTGAGAGGCCATGAATATGGTTACCACACACCTACAATATGATGAATGAATAGTAACTATTCTAGCAGTAGTTGATATAGTTAGGACCAAATAATATATTCACTAAATTCCGTAATTGTCTTTAACTGTTAACGTGACATCTAGTTAACATCTGCGATACTACACCTTTCTCTTCCTAGAGTTGAGAGAGTTATGTCCATTTAAAATTTTGTTTGATAAAGGGCCTTACGTAAATCGCGAAGTCTTATAAATAGATCTTTACAAGAACGTGTACATGTGTATTCAACAGGTTAATAATCGATTGAATACAGAAATTTAGCAAACGTTTTTGTAGCAAAATAAACAGTCGAGAGCGTTTGCATTGAAGTCACTGCATATGTTCGACCCTGTTGGCTGATAGTTGTTAAAATTGCAGACCTATTTCATATATCGTGCGGTGTATTTTGGTATGTATGATACCATACGACAATCTATAGAGAAAGATAAGAAAAATTTGCATTTCGTCAGCTCTTTTGTCATCGCCCAAGTACGTTTAGTGTTTGTTTGCTAAACATTGTTGTTGCTGTTATCAAGGCATGGAAATTGTATTCTTTCAGGTGGTGTCAATCTTCTCTGCTTATTTGACGTATCCATGGGATACAGTTAGGCGGAGAATGATGATAAAAGGTACTTTAAGCACTGGAAAAGCATTTACGGCTGCAAAACGTATTCTTGCTGAGGAAGGCATACCTGGATTGTTTAAAGGAGGATTGGCTAACATTCTCAGGTTAGCAGTTAAACATCTAAAAGCGTTATTTTACAAAACTCAAAAGCATCTACTTGCATTTTACTAATACGAACATTTTAAGTAATTATAAATTAATTTCGTCTATCAGGAGTAGTGGAGGAGCACTAGTCATGGCAACGTACGAAGAAATTCAGAAGCATTTATGATTTATCATTTCTTAAATGGATCATCTGGAAGTTCGGGCATTTGGAACCACGAATGTTAGTAATTATCCATCTTTTATCTTTAGTAACTCAACCTGTGTTGGTATCATGGTTGCTCAGCCAAACGAGCTTTCTATAACACTTTTTAAATGTACTTTCAAAGACTACAAATGAGTGTACTTTTCATTATTCGATGTCCTGTGAAGTCATTTTCTCTTGCCTCGGAAGTGAATTCCTTTTGGAAATAGTTCGTTCTGCAGCGAGCGATTATGACTGACATGCTCGACATCACATATCTTAAGCAATGGTTGCAAAATATTGTGCACATTGACAGCAATGTGTCCTCATATTTGTATAAGCTTGAGTAGGAGAATTATCTTAAAATAATGTATGCTTGGTAGAGTATTTACGTTACGTTATGGTCTCCATTCTTTAAACAATTTAGTTGTTTTCACGAGATGAGAATCATCCGACTATATAATCAAGAGTGATCGTCCTGCGCAGAGAGGAGACTGAACAAACTTACTGGTCACTGCTAAAGCTTCTCAGTGTAGAACTTGCTTGTAATTCAAGCATTTATGGCCTGATGTGTTTCGTATTTATATCTATTATAATCTGAAATTACTGCGCTTTTCAATTTTAACCTATTCCGCTCCTCATGAACATTAGTGTCAATAGCGGTTTGCAGCAAACGACCATATGGACATTATAGTGTATATATTCAGCTAATTCCAGTGCTTTTTTGTCCCACCGTGTGTTATTTCGACAGGTAATCTAAAGAAAGTCAAAATGGGTTGTATAGGACCCAGAAAAACGATTATTCACATTTCGTGATTTACAAAAAGCTATTTTTGAGGAAATTCATTGGCCGATGGTTTGACTAACAATTTATCGTTGCTTCATTTGAATCGCTTTCCCTACCATGCAGAATGTTTCGATATCCAAATAGTGGAATAGACTCAACATAAACTGCTGAATATTTTTTTGAAACTGAATGAATATTTCCAAATGCCGACAGCATTAACTTTTCAATATGAACCATAGTAACACATGATAGATACTAGCACACGTAGCACACGATACTAGCACACTCAGCTCTATTGAACGATAGAAGTTTTTTTTTCTAAAATCCAGTTCTACTCAAAACCTTTTGAGCCCTGTGGTTATTGTGAAAAGATTTTCTATCGTCAAAGAAAAAGCGTATACTCTATTGGGAAAAAGCTGCGAAAAACGGCGTTGGGACGGAATGGGTTAACTAGTGAAGATATCTGAGGTCGTAGTGAACTTCATCAGTTGAAGTGAAACTTATTACAATCTACTGATCTCTGCTAGTAAACTCCTTGTTTTCCTGTTTCACACCGTTGAATTGGGGCTGATGTTTTGAACAGTTAAATTACTTAGCAGGTGAGATTTCTTCCAGCGGGGCGCGACGATGTACGGCGGAGTACTTATTTAATTGATACCCGAACGGCCCGTCCTCACTAGTTGTGCGGGTCCCAGCATAAACACCATTTTTCAGTGATTCGCTAGTTAAGTCATTGTGGTTCCCTGGAATCCCGAGGACAGCCTGGCCAAAGTCTGCTTCAGGTCGTCACCACGACAGGCAGTCGCAACGCTTCTGGATCAGAGGGAGATTTACCACCATGCGACTTCGATATCAAGACCTGCCGGGAGGACGAATCTTCCCGCTGTATATCGCAGTCCGACACTCAGGAACACCTGCCAGCCACGATGAGGCGGTAAACCGTTGAGAGGGTATGGCAGAGTATCGGTGGTATTTGCGATTATCGCGATTGCGTTAGAAACATTGAGACCAAACTTTTGTTTTTGGTTTTTTTTTGTAAGAATCTGATTTCTAATGAAACTCTGCGTTTGGAGGTTTATTATGCAAGAAGTATTTATGTGATAGGATATAGGGATTAGAGGGATTGAATAAAGCCTCTGCTATAAGCTGTGGAGCTCTCAACGACCTTACGGTATTAAGAGTTTTGTCAAAACGTCATTTATGAAAAATGTATCATCAGTTATCGAAATAATCAACATTCATCTGTTTGTGTTAAGATTGTTACATGGTGCAGTGGTTTTCATTAGCCACTTCGCTTAACATTGTCCGCTTTATGTGTGCCGTAATGTGTCTAGCTTTATAGTTATGAACGCAATGAATAATTTTTCTAGTGAAATTTTAGTTTCGCTTTCTGAATTTTGATTTTATTTGTTAAATCGTAGTTGTATTGTATTATGTAGTGCCTGCTCTTACGGGTTTTTGTGACGATATCTCATTCTACTCTTGGTCTTTTCTCCACACATTGCTATTCATATGAAGTCGCAGGTTTCCTTTTTCTTCCTTTCTTCCATTTGTTTCGTCATCGTTTTTATTCCTCAAGTGGAGGTATGCGAAGCAATGTCTGTTTTCTGCTGCTTTACAATGTTGCTATTAACTTCTCTCTCTCTCTACTTGTAACACCGTGAGGCAAATTGAATTGGACACGGTGATGTGACGTGTATGTTGTTTTCCTCTTATAACTAGAACAGTTGCTAGTCAATAAAGTTGGGTATGACTTCTTGTTATGTGTAGTTTTGTGCTATCTGACATAGACGTTTTTCGATCTGTACTTAGTTGAAACAGTAAGAAATTGATTGAAGAGAGCGAGGAGTTAGATATATTTTCCATTTTTTTTCTTGTATAGGTAATATGTCTTCAGGATTCGCTCATCGACATAGGTGTGATGGTATTCTAAGGGCCATATTTATGCGTAGATCAATTAGCTATGGTAATTAGTCGGCGTAAGGATTTCCTTTCAAATACCTTAACATAGTGGTTGCTTCTTTTTGTTTCAGAGTGTGAAGCAAGCAGATGTTGTCATCTTCTCACAAATGGTTTTGCTAGTCAGCTGCACTCAGTCCTCTCGACATCCGTTTATCGCTTCACCATGGCAGGCTAGATACTCCAGTTTTTCTCGAGTGAGTTTTTAGGGATTTGAAGTTCGCCAAGATAAGAAATGGATTGTACTATGATCAAAGTGATTAGCCACAATATGCGATGTTATTATAGGTGGTACATTTCTTTTTGATAGTTTATTTTGCGACACAGCTTTCGCATTCTTGTCGGACTCTGCAATCATTCAACTCCTTATCGATCAATATGTCAGTTGTGCGACTATCAATTCTATTTCCTTTGCTAATAACTTGTTGTGAAAGGGTTTTTTCGGACGTGTTTATTTGTCAGGCCTATTGTACTGTACATGTTCAAATACGACATTTAAGAATAGTTCATTGGATGTAAGATGTGAACCATCAATAAGTCTCGTGTAGATGCAGAGGTAATCGATGTTACTGGAATCCTAGTTATGTTTAAAAAAGGCTGAGCGTCCACAAAGTGGGGTTCATTGAGGTGATGCTTCTTTGAAAACAGTCTCAAAGCCTCTCGAAACAGCCTCGTTCTCTTAATCTTTAACTGATTTTTCAAACATTGTGCTCAAAAACGTTAGCCAGCCACAGCCTACGACAGCCTACAGTCTTACAATTTCCGTAATTTACTAAATTAATCCATTAATGTTCGAGATATTCAAGCATCGTTGAGGTGAGGAATGCATACTTCACCTATAGATAGTGAGACCTACCAATCTGTTCTTTAGATTGCCGTAGTACAAGTTTGCTGATTCCGTAAAAAAGAGCGTTGAGCTCGATCAAATCAAAGACCATGTGTACTGTGATCAAGAGCAATAGTTAAATTCCAAAAATATGTCACATAAAAGGCACAAATATGGATTGGGAATATCCAGATTGTATTCCTTCTTTGATAACCTTACACGAGGTTGGTAGACAATTTTATTCGGCTAACGTCTCGACGTCTTCATCTTCATCACATCCGACGATCCGAGTCAATAGTCCACGGTTCTTCTTCGTCTCGATGTGGCGTCTTCGCCTTGGTATCGAGTTGTGTCTTCTTCGGCGGACTATCTCTCGAATGAGACCTACTCACTCAGTGATGCTCTTTTATGCAGGTTGCTGATGGTGGATAACTGTGATTGTCCGGTGATAATAACTTGTTTTCCCCTGACAATCAGCCCTGCAGAAGTCGGTATCATTATCAGCTAGAATCATTATCAGAAAGAAAGAATACATGTTGATTAGTATTACCGACGTTAAAGGAATGTCGGCTTTGAAATATTGTCATTGATCTTTGCAAGTTGATAAAATCTTTGATAAAATTGATTGTCTATGAAAAATAAGTTACTATCACCGGATAATCACAACTACCAACCATCAGCATCCTGTATATAAAAGGTCATCACCGAGTGAATGTGTCGTGTGAGTATGCCGATAGAGACATCGACAAGTGGAGATCTCACATTCGGGGCCGAGAAAACGCGGTCCGAGCGTTAAGGGATAATACATAGTGGACGGTGTGCGTTGTATACAATCACATACGATCGTAAATTATTGCGCTCATCACTTTTAAACAAATATATTTCAGTTCATGGTGGACTAATCGAAATAGAGGCCTTTACTTACTACTTGGATATTTGGACGGTCCGTCTTCACGAGCTGTGCGGACCCCAGCACGTATGCCATTCGTTCCTTTCTCTCGCAGTCATAGTTCATGGTGGTGGTCTTGTTCGAGCATGGTACCGCGTGCGAGTCTCATACCGTGATCTGTAAAACAACTGAAGCTGCGGGTACAGCTGATTAACTTTGTTTACGAACACGTCCGCCCAACGTGTAGGTGGACGTTTTTGGGGACGTTTGCATTCTCTTGGAGCCCACTCTACTGTTCTTTTCGTCCATCTGTCGTCTTTCCTTCTCATTAGGTGACCGGTCCATCTATGTTTCGCTGTCGATGTATATTCTCCCGGATCTCGAAGATGTGACAGTTGTCGAAGATCAGAGCTTCGCATTCCGGCTGAATATTGAGAGTGCCGGTTATATTTCAGAAGACATCACTCAAGCGCTCTGTGAGTAGTTCGAAGCATTCTTGACGTAGTTGAAGTATCAACCCACGTCTCTGCAGCATAACAAAGCGCTGGGAGGACCGTAGAATCAAAGAGACGAGCGCGGATTTTCGGGTCCTTCAGTTGGTCAGTGGCTTCTTTGAGAGGCCCGAATGCGGCCCAAGCTGCTTTCCTTCTATTTAGTTCCTCCTTCATGTTGTTTTCCATGTTCATTGATCACCCAAGGTATACGCACGAGGTGGTCTCTGCAATGAGAGACTCATCCAACTCAATTTTTTCGTCTTTGAACCATGGGTTTTTCATGAACTGGGTCTTCTTTCCATTTATGCGAAGTCCGGTTTTTTTCCCGCTTCGTTGAGCTCGTTGTTCGTCGTCTCTGCTTCGCTAGTACTTCTTGAGAAGATGACAATGTCGTCGGCAAAACGAAGGTTTGACAGTATTCCATCAATACGTATGCCTTTCTCATCGCAATCGAGTTACTTCATTATCCACTGCAGTGCGGTATTGAGCAACTTTGGCGATATTGTGTCGCCCTGTCGTACCCTTTTTCTTATGGGTATTGTAAGAGGTCGATGGAAAAGCTGTATTTTCGTAGTGTAGTTTCGATAACAGTCGAACAGAGTCCTTATGTAGGACGGGTCCATTCCTTGGTCGACGAGCGCTGATAGGATTGCATCTGTTTCGACAATGTCAAACGCTTTCTCATAATCGGGAAAGGTTAGGACTAGAGGCAAGTGGCATTCCCGACAAACTTCGATCAGCCTGAACACAGTTTGGATGTGGTCCATGCAGCAAAATCCTTTTCGAAATCCTGCTTGCTCGACTGGTTGCGCCTCGTCCAATGTCCTTGATATGCGCGAAAGAACAATCTTCGTGAAAAGCTTGTAGACTGCACTTAACAATTATATTGGACGATAGTTACGAAGATCCCTTCGGTGTCCTTTCTTGGTCACGATGACCGTGTCTTAGAGGCCTTTAGAATCAACAAATCTCTGCCAACAATATGCTAGTCCTTCCGTTCTGAAACAACAAAACTCTGATTTTCAAAGGCACAAGGAACTTTTTTTTCGCTTTTCATGTTGAAGATCGTACTTCGAGCGCCAAAGGGTGTCCTGAAATGTGGTGTTGCGGCTGCCAGGCTAGCATTAGAAACTTTAAAAAGTTCCGCATTGAATTTCTCAAAGTCTTTAGATTTAAATATGTTTAAAGTCGAAACGACATTTCCGAAAAGAAAATATTTGTGTATCTAAAGCACTATATCGAAGTGTTATTTAGAACCAAATTCCCACTCATCAATTACTCTAGTTGTCTAAAAATTGTTAGCAGACGAGAAGAAACCAGAATCAGTCATTATGGGTTGATTTACTAAACATTGGCGCTGATGAATGAAGCTGTACATGAAGAAGGTGACCAAACCTAAAACAAGAACTTGGTATTCCTCAACAAGAAGTGCGTCCGTTCTTAAAACCGTAAAGCGGCCTAAATTTTGTAAATCAAGTGCATACCCCGTTGACTTTTTCCTACTGTTCTAGCTCTTGAAGTGATGGAAAACCATCTTAGACGACAATTATAAAGGGAGGGAATAACTGAGAAGTGTGTTTGTGCACAACTGGTAAGGGTATGGTCTACTGACTACACTCTATATGCCTCAATCAGCAATACTCCGTGTCTTGTTTACCCTGAAGGGGTTGATAGTTTCACCATGTACTGTACATGACTGATTTATGAGCATGGTTATGCTAATAGTATAAGGACAGGGAAAAGGCCAAGAAGAAAAACGTTCTAAAGAAGTATACCAACCACGTAACGCTTAGGGCGGGTAGCGCAGCGGTAGTGATGCTGATCATCACGAGCACTGTTCTGGTTTTATCCCGATTCGAGATCACCAAACTTCTCATCTTTCCGGGATCGGAAGATTGGTGCTGGACTTCTCTGAGAAAGTCATTCTCTGCAATGAGAGAGTCGACTCGACTAGCATTCAGCGGCATTTATGATGAAAGGAAAATCCTCATCAGCTGCCAAAGCCAGCTGTAAAAAATTGGAAGACCTTCGTGAGTTATGGATTCGAGGAAACGAGGCGAATGCGAGAAGTGCCGTGATCCGCACAGTAGTTTAAAAGACGGGTTTTGTAAAAACAAATGGAAGAGAAGATAAGCTGGCAATACTTTGGAAAGTAAATGGTCTTGTAGAAGTAAGCATTGTAATTAAATGACTGGGCGGAAATTTGAGGTAGGAAAAATCCTGACTACAGCATGCTCGGTTGTTCAAGAAATGGATGCTAACCTTGTTTACTTTCCTAATACATTACATTTCCTTTATGTTTTTCTACCAGTTTCTCAACTTTCTTTCAGGCAGATCAGTTAGAAGCATTGAGGGACGCAAAGGAAATGTTCTACTTTGCTTATGATAGTTATATGAATTTCGCTTATCCTGCAGATGAACTAGATCCCATCCATTGCAGAGGTAGAGGACATGACCATGATGATCCGTGAGTGTTGAAGAATTTTGAGGAAGTATTTGTGTTCTATGTGAAGTAAGTGATTTCTTAGTGGAAATATCAACATCAATGATGTGTTGGGTGACTACTCGTTGACGTTAATCGACTCATTGGATACTCTTGTTGTGTTAGGTTGTTTTTCTTGTCTATCCAATATTGTTCAGGGATTATCTCTTTCATTCATATACTCTTAGGACTTTTTAAATAAACTTTTTAAGTATTGCTCCAGGTGATCATGCTGAGTTTAAGAGAGCTGTTTCATTGGTAATAAATTCTGTCAGTTTTGAGAGGAACACAACAGTTCAGGTGTTTGAGGCTACAATAAGGTAACCGATTTGTTATCCTTTCCTTAAGTCAGCAAGAAAATACCTGTTCAGAGTCATCGGGTCACTTCTATCTGCTCATCTGATAGCATCCGATAAATCGCTCTTATTTGGCAACTTTTCTATTCCCGACTACGACGGAGAACTGCTAACATTAGCACATGATCTGGTTGCACGTCTTCTTCCGGCGTTTGAAGGCACAAAGACAGGTAATGTTTTTGATAGATCAAGGGTAATCATGAGACTTCTATATCGCTTTTAGGTCTACCATATCCTCGGGTCAATTTAGTAAATGGCATACTAGAGGGAACTGTGGAAGAGACGTGTACATCAGGAGCAGGTTCTTTACTATTAGAGTTTGGGATCTTATCGCGTCTGCTGGGTGATCAGGTACAATGTATTATTTTCCATTTTCTTAACATATGAAACTTCTCCAGTTGGACGCTTTCAGACCTTCGAACGCACTGCCAGACGCATAAATGAAAAACTGTGGCAATTACGTGATCCGAACACTGGATTACCAGGTGCTGTTCTCTAAATCGTGTCTGTGAAGTTTTCACATGCAATTTCGTGTTTTCATGTTACGGATTTACTTGTTTTTATTGCAGGGAATCTCATTAACATTCAAACTGGGGAGTGGGTTGGATATCTCAGTGGAGTTGGTGCAGGCCTAGACTCATTCTACGAGTATTTTTTGAAAGGCATTTGCTACTTTCCTCAATATATTTATTCACGTTTGTTATGTTTATTTAATTTCCTAAACGAATTTTTAGCCTACATTTTGTTTGGCGAACCTCGAGATTTACAACTATTTAATGAAGCATACGGCGCCATTCTCGCAAATATGCGTCGAGGAAGGTAAGCTATAATTTATATTTTGCTACTGTATAGTTAGATCCTGCAAAGCTTAAATATCAGCGATATTAATTTTCTTTTTCTAGAGCTTCATGTAACTCCAATGATGGCGAGCCACCACTTTTTGTAAATGTTGATTCACGGGATGGTAGCATTGCTAATACATGGATTGATTCATTGCAAGTATGTTCTCGTTTTACATTAATCGTATTTCTCCACATCATTTGCCTCTATCTCGATGTTAACGAAAAAATTATCAAGGCAAGCTTTGCTGGTCTATTAGTGCTAGCTGGTCAACTTGAAGAGGCGATCTGTCAGCACGCATTTTACTACGCTGTATGGAGTAAGTACGGTGTTCTTCCCGAAAGATTCAACTGGCACCTTAAGTGAGTTTTTTGAGTGCTTCGACGACAAATTGTTTTTTATTGAGTTCAACTGCACAGTTTTTTTGGACAATTTTTAGAAGTCCAGATGTGAATTTTTATCCACTACGCCCTGAGTTTGTTGAGTCAACGTACTACTTATACCGCGCTACCAAAAACCCATTTTACTTGAATGTTGGACGAGAAATACTTGACTCTCTTAATAGCAAAACTAGGGTATGCATTTACGTCTTAAAAAAGGTTTCAATTATGAGTAATAGAGTTATTTCAGGTACAATGTGGTTTTGCCACTGTTCACAACGTTGTCGATGGTACCTTGGAAGATCGTATGGAGTCTTTCTTTTTAGCAGAAACAATGAAGTACTTGTATCTGGTTCGTTTGCCTTAGAGTTAGATCCCATATGACAACGAATGCATCTTTTAATGGCTTATTTGAAACCATTCTATGCAAAATGACATTTCTAGTTGTTCGACGAAGATAACCCCGTTAATATACATCAGGAACGACTCCTTTTCACTACCGAAGGCCATATTATACCTGTCCTGCAAAAGTTTAGGTTACTACTTCTGTTTTTTCTTGTCTTTTATATCATTTAAGAAAAGATTTATTAGGGAACATTCATACGTGGAACTCGATGATTATAGCAGAAAGAGTACCCAAAAAGTGCTATCATTGTCACAGTTTATCCTCGAAAAACTCGGTATGTCCTATTGTTTTCGTGTACTTTTCCAGTTTTTATAGTATGCAACCTGGTCAGGTTTTTTGTACTCTGACTGTTGTAATCTACAAACTCATTTTTGAGATAAAGGTATAACAGTGACACGCACATCCGATGGTTATGCAAGATTGCAGCGGAACTCATCATGTGAGACTACAGAGTCATTCCCGCGTCACAAACCACCCCTTGAAGATTTTCACATGAGGGAGATTTTCCATTCTGTTGGTATGATATGGGATTGGTTCAGTTAGTCGAGAAATCATATTAAGGTATTACTAGTTCATTGTATTGAATATATATATATATATACATATATATATACATATATATATACATATATATATACATATACTTTTATATACGGATTAGGAAATTGTTGTATTTCGTAATAGTAGATGCACACATTTGTGTCTAGTCTTATGGGCGGGTTATGCTTTCTTTTCCTTCTGACCTAATTAAATGTTCTATCCGTGTGCCTTTTTCGAGTCGGGATTTTTCACTTGTTACGGAGAAGCATACCAGTGCTGTGATGTATGCGATACTTTCATTTCTTCTCAGGTTTATTTTCGTTCTCGGTAGTTTATTGTTGGTGAAATAAAATTTGCTGTTATAACAAAGAGAAAGATGTTCGTGTAATAAAATTTTATATACGTTTGTGGGAAAAAAACGTGAATTGAAATTTCTTATGATACTGTTTTGTCTCTTTTCTACAAAGCATGCAGTATACGTGAATTATTTCACTTGTTCGTTTTCTTTTTTGCTACGGTGAAGTTACGTAGTAGTAGGTAACAGGAGCAACTCTAGAAACTTGATGAAGTCCATGTGCAATTAAGGAGTATTCGCTATTCATACTGGTCTGCTTAGTTAGTGTATGGAGTTTGAATATACTTGAACTTGATACTTGAATGGTCCGTCCTCACTGTTTGTTCGGGTGCCAGCATAATTTCCGTTTTTTTTTTCGGAGATTTCCAGATTTTGCGCCTGTGATCCGATGGAGTCCCGAGGTCAACCTGGCCAAAATCTGCCCCAGGTCTTCACCACCACAAACAGCGCAGCCCTTATGGATCAGGGTGAGATTTGCCACCATGCGACTTTGATACCAGGACGGTGGTGGATCCTGGTATTGGTTTACTCTTAGCTAGGCTTCCTGATGGAAACGTCGGACTCCTCAGCTTGGGAGACCCTGCCAGGAGATGAATTTCTTGTTGTACATCGCAGTCTGACACCCAGGAACACTTCCCAGCCACGATGAGGCGCTTAACCGTTGGGAGGGGAGTTTGAATATATTTCGAGTATTTAGTAATCGATTCTCATATACTTGAGCACATTATACGAGCGAGTAAATTGGTCGCTTTTATCTGAAAGTTATTCGTTTATAACAATTAGAATCCAACGAAAATAGGATTAGAAGGTAGAATTTATGTGAAAGCGGTGTTTGAGGTGCTTCTCCTCTTTGCTTCCCTTCCTACTAGTTTTTCGTAACTGCTATGAGTTTTGACATGCAGTAGCATTGTTTTGACAACTCACTGACATAGATTTTTAAGCATAAGAAATCTCGACAGGCAAGCAAAATTGAACGGAAAGTGCATACTGCAACTTCTTCGATCTGAGAACGAAAATTTTAAGCGGCAGTTTTTAAGCTACGTACATCAGTTTTATCGTAAACCAGACTTCGAGTTTATTTTCTGTGAGAGCAACAGCTTTACGATGTACATCTGCAACTGTTTTTTTTTTCACCAGTTTTCTCACGACATCACTAAATTTTTTCTTTTTGAGTTTATTTCGTATGACCCGTCTTCCACATCTAATGTGCCGATCCCACCACTTCTCGCATTCGATTCATTTCTTCGCATCCATAGTCCACGAAGGTTTCCCAAGTTGTAACGTGTGGGTTCGGCTGTTGCTTGAGCATTTTCTTTTCATTGTGAATATCGTTAAATGCTAATCGAGTCTATTCTCCCTGGAGTCCTGGAATAGCGACGCTAGAGCGTTCCCTTTCCCATCTAGATGTTCTTTTATGCGGTCATAAGGTGGTCCACCTCTCCAATGTGTTCCTCACCGCATGAATTACACGTGATCAAGTGTATTGTACCTGAACTCATGCAATCCGTCTCTCCCGTTAGGACAGGTCATACAGTTTTCTGAGCTGCACAAACGATCAAAAAGGAGATTTCGGATGGCACAGGGTATTGCGTAGGAGGAATCTTTTCGTTTTGTCCGAAATTCAAACTACTAAATGTTTTGGTGTAGGAGCGGTGGCCATCAACGTAGGCGAAGCTTTCATGGGAGCATCGCGTACTTTTGAACGAAATTCCACATGTTCGGTTGTTTAGCCATCTGAAATGCGAATCCTGCTTAAAAGTGGGTTTCTTGGTTTCAGAAAATCATAATATCCTAACGGTGGAACAAAGAACTCTTTTATCTTGTTAATAAATATCTGTAGAACTTCAATGATGCTGAGATATTTGCAAAACTCCGAATCGCAGGCGTCTGCGGTGGGGAACGAACGCGCTATTGTTCTTTCCGGGTAGTAACGCGTTCACCACCACACCATACGGGTTCTTCGTTTCGCCTGTCTCTCAGCTAGTTCTATCGATCTTTTGCCATCAGCAGTCACCCGTCGGCGGGAGTTTTGAGTTTTGCGAATATCTCAGCATCATAGAAGTTATATTTCGCATTATACCCTGCCATCAAAAAGAGTAGGCAGTGAATAAGACGGTTAAGAATATCTGTAGACTTTAACGGTTTTCATTTTGATTAACACAACTCTCGAAACTTTTCGATCTTAATACGTTTGGTGTATAGAATAGTGGTTGCGTTAGTATTCAAACCAACATGTCTTGGTTCATAGTGAACCCTTTGAATTAAATATGAAACTTCTGCGGAAAGGATGGGAAGTTTTTATTTCATTTGGATCCCTTAAAACTTTTTTTTTCTTCATTCCGCATGTACGACTAACAACTTATATGATCGCTCTAAAGTAGGCGAAGACTCTGAAATGTCAGCAATCAAATTTTAACATCAACAACAGAACTGATGCCCACTTCGAGTCAGTTTAACAAGGGCAATTCGGGAGGTAAAAGAATAAGGTATAAAGCTCGTGGCGTTGATCAATCCCTGTGGGATGCGTCATGCACTCGACTTCTTTAAGCATCGTTGGAGATGATTTAATGCATATCTGGCCTTCACAATGACTCACGCTGGTCCATCGATGTATCGAGCCATTGCTGCTATCCTCTCATGTAGGTCTGGCACCAATCTACCGACCCCGGAGAGATGGATGGATTAGTGGACCAGGGGCGCGGGAACCGATCCCATGTGTGTTGCAGGATGCTTTCCACCGCTGCGTTACACGCACCCATTCGGGAGATAGATTTGTTCACTATAACACGTAGTTTACTTGACCAAATATTTCTTTAGCTCTAATGCAGAGATCAAAAATCTAACTCACTGGATAGTTTTGTCACCACCTTTTGTCTTCGGCGTCAATTTTTTATCAAGCAATAACACTTACTCACATGTGGTAACAAATGTTGTTCGCTCTGCTCAACAAATCAGCCTGGGCTACGGTACTGTCATGTGTGATTGCGAGATTTTCGTCCTGTCGATCCGCCTTAGGATTTTTGGAATTATATAACTTCGGGATATTTATCTTCATTCTTCTGCGTCTTGTGTATACCTTGTTCGGCATGATTTACCTTCCCTCTTATGTTTTATTTTGTCGACAGTAACGATAGTTCGTCAACAGCATTAATCAAGTTGGACGAGAAATATAGAAAACCGCAGGAGAACTGCCACAATGTTCATTTCTGTCATTGGTGCAAATTATGTAGTAATCGTGCTATCCGCAGACGATTTAGAGACGCTTCTTAGTTATTTAACTGACGTTATTGTTTCTCTTGATAGTTCAATCACTGCAGCGGTTTTTGCTAAACCTGCCTCTTCAGACATTCAGGCACTATTTTATAGTTGCGGAACATTCCTAGAAATAAAGAGACTGGCAGAGTTGTCCTATCGAAGTTAACAAAGATTTCTTTGAGGTATGAGCTTTACTTCATAACTAATTTCACGTGCAACTGACTTTAAGCGACTTCTTCTTCACCCTTATTTCTGTCCACTTATCAGCTGCCGTGCGAAACAAACGGTTTTTATATGATAAAGATGAGCAGAAGGATATACCTCTAAGTCTATGAAGCCTCTGATGTATAAAAAACTTTCCGCTTGCCGTCCAGACAACTTCTTGGATTATTGAGCAAAAATGAGGTTGCTGACAAGACCTATTCGACTAGCGTTTCGAAGTCTTCGTTTTCTTCAAACCCGGATTGATGCGAGTCATTGGTTCCTCGCAATGTGGGTGTTTGTTTCCGCATCGAGTTTAATCGCCTGCGGTGGAGCATCGATCGAAAGGAGAGTCTTACTTGACGCCGCCTTTTTATACAGAATGAGTATTGATCTGCTGATTTGTATGATGATTTTTGGCAGCAGTGCATCCTGCAGCAGTCTGTATTATATTGGCTATCACATAACGATTCCACATTTTTCAAATCGACTTTCAATAAACCTCGACGGGAACAACCAAAATAATTAACACCTTCTTCGACTCAGTGCGACAGGAAACATCCACATTGCGAACTCGCCCGTCCCTATGAATCATGGACTGGAATTATCGACTCTGAAGAAGGCTAAGACATCGAAACATTAGACGAATAAATCTTTTCATCAATCTCGTGTCGGCTTAATAATCGAAGAATGTATTGATTACTTCTGCCGCAGTCTAATGAAAGTCAGTTTGAAAAGTATTTTTGAGACATTTCCTTCAATAATCTATCGGCTACTGAATGACATGCTACGCACATTTAAATGACCCTTTGTGTTGCC